ACCTTTCCCTTAATTGCATTTATTTCATTCACGGTGGCCACAATCTTACCTTCTTGGATGGAATTTACTTTACCCTTGGAGTTGTTGTGATTTTGAGGTCTACAATCTTTTGCGTAGTGTCCAGATTTCCCATAAACAAATCATCCTCCTTTGGTCTTCTTCTTGAACTTATTAAGGTTCATCGAAGGCTTCTTTTTGTTGGTGTTTAGATTTTTCTACAACATTTACTTTGGAAGTGCTCTCATGAGAATCACTTTTATCACGCATTCTCAACTCTTCCTCAATCCGAAGATGTTTTTATAGTTGTTCTAAAGAATAATTTTCGGAACTATGCATTATCTTCTTTCAGTATCATTTCCAAGTTCCAGGAAGTTTGACAATTATGGCCCCCACTTGAAAGGTCTCTGATATTTCAATTTTTACCACATTTAACTTATTGACAATTACTTGCATTTCATGTATTTAGGGAAGAAGGAGAATATTCTCTAAAAATTTAAAATCGAAGTACTTAGAAATTAAAAATTTCTTTGTACATTCTTCTTCCGCTTATACTTACCTTCGAGCGCATCCAAAATTTCTTTTGCCGAAGTTGTGTTTGTATATAAGTCATACAAACGATCTGATAATGCGTTGAGAATGTGATCGCGACATATTAACTCATCTTCTTGGCACTTTTGTCTTTTATTTCTCACCGCTTCGATTTCTCCATTCGTAGGTTCCGGTAGTAGCGCAAGATTCGGATCTAGGATGTAGAAAATCTTCAATGCAGTGAGAAGAAACTTCAATTTGTCTTTCCATCGAGTGAAGCTCGTTCCATCGAACTGATCTAACCACACCGAATCTTGATTCATGAGTTTGATTGTCGCCATCATTCTCTCGCTTTCCATTGCAGAAACTTTCGTTTGAGATTGATGTAAAAAATTTCATCGGGTCGGAGTAGAAATCACGAAATATGAACCGGCAACACCAAGAACAAGATAATCACGAACTTGTATAAACGAATGGCTTGAACACGATATCATTGTCCTCAAACAATATTTGTCCATTCTCTTATTGATTTGAGATGCTTCGAAGGTTGATGTCAAATGGTTTGTAGGATTTTAACAAGAATTAATCACCAAAGTACAAGTGAAAATCCTTGAAAACTTGAAGAACACAAGTTTTGAATATGAAAGTAACTATGGATTTTTTTATTGTTCTTAGAACAAAGTATGGATTGCAAGATGTTTTTCTAACATCTTTCCCTCAAACATGGCTCTCCTATATATAGCCATCGACCAGAAGTACGAAATGGTGCCAAACAATCAAGTGAAAATTCACCAAGTTCAAATTTGCAACGGCTACTAACGGCCAAAAAAGGTCAAAACAAACCCATGCAGTTGCATGGTTCACCCATGCCGAGACCATTTGATCTTGTTATATGACCATGCGTGCCATGTGGTCGCATGGACCAAATTTTATTTTTTAATTTATATAGTTGTTGGTTTTGAACGACATAATCATAGCAATTGATCAGTATATTGTAGGTTTTTTTAATTGCTTCTTTGTTGCTTCTTTATTTGTTTATACTGGGATTTGTTTTGTCGAACAGTCTGTGGAGAAATACAAAGAACAAAAGTTCGAAGATTCTACGTAAAAATGACAGCATTAACACCTCCGTTAACACGGACATCGTTATTGTCGGTGCTGGAGTTGCTGGTGCCGCTTTGGCTCATACTCTTTGGCTCATACTCTCGGAAAAGTAACAACTAGGATACTTCTTATACTTTTTAGCCCATATTGCATTTTTAGATTAGTATACAAGAGTTTTTGTCTGATCAACACTTCATTTTCGGTTAATAAATGAAGGACGCATGACGTGTCCATGTGATAGAAAGAGACTTGTCCGAGCCAGATCGAATTGTAGGTGAACTTTTACAATCAGGAGGCTATTTGAAATTAATTGAGCTATGTCTTCCCTTGGGCAAATTTCACTCCGACGTTTCTGGTAGAAGTTTTCATAATGGCCGTTTTATATAAAAAATGAGAAAAAAGGGTGCAACTCTGGCAAAATATGCCCTTTTTTTAACCTAGTAATGTAAATGAGGAAGATTTTTACTCTATAGTTTACCTTAGCTGGTGCTGTAACACAAGTCTATTGTAGTAATGCTGATTTTTTACTAACGTGTTACCTTTTTCTATCTCAGTGTATGACTGGAACAAGGGACAGTAAAATTTGCAACGGCTACTAACGGCCAAAAAAGGTCAAAACAAACCCATGCAGTTGCATGGTTCACCCATGCCGAGACCATTTGATTTTTTACTAACGTGTTACCTTTTTCTATCTCAGTGTATGACTGGAACAAGGGACAGTAGCATCCCTACTTGAAGAAAAGGGTACAAGAGTAAGAATGGTGTCGAAGATATGGCTTATGCTCCTCTCACCATTGTGAGTGATGGCTGTTTATCGAACTCAATACGCACACTTCATAATCCTAAGGTGAATACTCCACATCATGCTTAATTTCCCCCGGTTCTCACATTTCATTGTATCAATTTTCTCTTCTCTAAAACAAAGTCTTTATGTGATTTAGGTGGATGCCGCTTCATGCTTTGTCGGTTTGGTGTTGGAAAACAGTGACCTCCCTTGTGTGAATCATGGGCATGTTGTTCAAGCTGATCCTTCGCCTATCTTACTTTATCCAATCAGTAGTACAGAAGTTCGTTGCTTGGTTGATGTCCCTGGACAGAAGGTGCCTTCCATTTCGAATGAAGAAACGGCCAATTATTTGAAGAATGTAGTGGAACCTCAGGTACCCCTAATTCACTTGATATGAAGGGCCTGTTTGGTGGGACTTTAGAAGAAACTAACTAAATGCGATTTCCTGAGAAAGCTCTTCTACAAAAGCATAAGCACTACCAAATGGGCTCGTAGACAACCTTTACATATGCCGTGTTTTAGACACTAACTTTCGCACATAATGCGCTTTTCAACTGACCAATATATATATTTCAGATTCCTACTCAGCTGTATGATGCATTTCTTGCCCCAATTGACAAAGGAAACATAAGAACAATGCCAAATAGAAGCATGCCGGCAGATCCTCAGCCCACCCAAGGTTTCCTTCTACTAGGAGTGTTGGATATTTAACCCTCAAATTTGATTCAACAACAGAAATGATAAAAACAATCAACCACGAAGCAGCAAATGAACACAAGAGATTGTTCACCCAGTTCGACAAAGCCTGATTTTGGGGGGTCTCAGAGTTAAGCATGTCGCTAATGCATAGTGTACAATCAGAGATTCAACCAAACCAGTAACCAAACTTGATCATTGATCTACATACAAGGGGACGCCTTCAACATGACAGATTTATCCTTTGTGAGTATCTTGAATCCTTCTATACCATTAGAAAGGCGAGATATTAGATTGGACCTCAAAAAGATTAGTTTTAAATTTCCACAAAAACTTGAGAAATCAAACGTTCTTTTGCAGCCTGTGGCGTCTATTATAAACTCATTGGCAGGTGCACTTTACAAGGTCTTTTGTTCATCGCCTGATCAAGCAGAAAGGAAATGCGTCAAGCGCGTTTTGATAACTTGAGCCTTGGAGGCGTTTTTCTGGATTGAATCCTTGTCCTTTGACTTTGTTTGCCATTTTTTTTTGGCGTGGGCGCTTATTACTCTTCGCCCTCAAAGAGTTTGGTTTGGGGCTAGATTGCTTTCTGTACCTTGTCAAATGAAAATTTTTTAGAGTTATCGTACACATTTTGACCACTTAATGTTTCTTCTTTACAGGGTGCTCTGGAATTTGGAATTATTTTCCCGATTATAAGCGCAGAGGACGTTCGACAAATGTTTTTACCTGTTACTTTTCTAGCCTACTATAGTGCTCCCCCTGTTAACTAACTCTATTGCTCATTATTTGTTGTTCTTCGTAACAGCAACAGCTGTTTGTATAATTATATTAGATGTCGGTCGAAATAAAGGCGAAAGCTCTAGGGTACAGTAAATCATATTTATTTATTTTAGTTCTAATAATGTAATCGTATTGAAAAAAAATCGATGTGCTACAGCATGGCATAGCATAGCGGAATTGCCAGCAAACTATAAAATGGTCACATGTAATGAATCGAACATATAAGGGTATAATTGTCATTATAATATTTTATTTTATTTTTTTTTTTGGGGGGGGGGGGGGGGGGATTCGGAAATTTGCAATGAAGATTTCTAATCTTTCAAAACAGTGCAGATAGGTCTCAAAGCTTTAAATATACATTCAAACATTTCAAAAATGTGTTGTAGTCTTACTCCAGGACGATTTTTGCTCAAAAATTCGTTAATTGACCAAAAGTCGAGTGATTGACCATAATTTGAACAATTTTAAAAGAATTCTTTTCCAATTTTAATTAATTAATACAAGAGATATTTGCATCAAAAGTTTCAATCATTTCAATAATGTGCAACATGGTCCTGAACCTTCAATAAAGTCGATTTCCAACAATAAAAATAAAAAATAAAAAATCTAGGGGTGTTAATTTGGTTCGTAGCCTCAGATGACCCGTGACTCAACACAAGAAAAGCTTCAGTGCTTGATTCGTGGCTCGATAGAACTTAGCTGAGACTCGTGCCAAACCCCATTTTGAGGCGTCACTTCAAGCCCAAGCTAGAGCCCGTCCGTGTTGCTTGACAACCCACAAGAACGGCTCGTGATGAGACAAGCAAACAAAATATAAATACATAAAATTTGCAATACTTTAATAAATAAATAAATAAAATATTGGCAACAATAGCAGACTTAATAGACATCTATTAAAAAAAAAAGGAAAAAAAATGAAGAGAGAGCGAGTTGGTTCGGCTCTCTAAGGCCTGAGCCGAAAGCTCGGGTCAAGCATAAATTTTTTGAGGGCCTAAAAATGCTCGAACCATTTTTACTCGAGCCAAACCCGAGTTTCGAGTTTCGACTCGTTGACATCCTTAGAAAAATCTGTCAATTGATCAAAAATATTCATCTCCTCCAATCAACCCCAATAAGATAAATTACATTTCTTATGATAAACATTTTAACTTCAGACAAACATGCTCTAAAAAGTGATGGTAGTTGGCGTCATATCCTGGACATATTGGCTAGCAACAGAAAATGTCAACATGGATGTAGAAACAATATTTTCCTCTCAAACAACTAATGGCCATGTTTCTTCGACCACGTTAAAATGTCCTGTCCTGCTACAACTTTTTACGAAGGCAACATCAAAATTCTTTCTAACACCACTGTAGCATAATTTACTGGCATTTACATCTATATTTTTGCAATAACATAAATACAATAGGCATCAACGAACCAATATCATAAATCTTCAACGTGATGATCAGTCTCGTCAAAGATTTCCTCCTGCAAGAGCCAATGATGAGTATAAGATATATAGCATTCTTGAAGTGGAAGAATCTAAGGTAAAGGTTTAAAATAGACGAAACCAGCCCTAGATAGATGGCACATCATCAAGACGTTATTAAGTGCTTGTTTGTTAGTGTTTTTAATAACTTATAAGTTGTGGATCCTATGAAATAAAGTGGGTAATATAAAAAGTAGGTTTGAGCAGCTTCAATTGTAATTTAACCTTTGACAAACATGCTCTATTTATGTTATTGCAAAATATAAATGTAAATGAGATGCTTGGCCGGGAATAGTGTGTATTCTTGGTGTTATTCCTCGTGTTGGGAGTGTATGTGTGTTGTATGTATTGGAGCTGGTATTCTCACGTTTGAATTTGCATTTTGACCGTTCCTGACCTCTTTCCAGAATTCAGATTCTGGTCATTGCTGTGGTTCCTGGAATTTGCAGCCTTCTTCAGACTTCGGCAGATTCTTTCTTGCATTTTTGGTGTCGGTCTGTGGTGTCTCCGTTTTGGGTAAGTCTTCAATAATTGAAGTCTATCTTGGGCCGTCTTCAGCTTTAATTGGCGGTCAAAGGCTTTCCTTTTTGGGCAAGTTTTCAAATATATTTCAGATTATTCCGTTGGTTTCGTTGGTGGGTCGGGTCTCCACTTTGGGCCTGTTTGGCCGGTTCTTTTTGGGTTGTTACCTGCTGGGCCTTTTTGTTTTCTGTTTGGATATTACTGTGGCAGATTTTATGTCTAAGAGGGGCAGCCTCCAAACATGCATGCATGAAAAGCTCAAAAGGAAGGCTGATGAGATAAGGAAAGTGGGGACTAAAATTGACAAGAAGAAGGGTACCTCCCTTGCTTCAACATCATGAAGATTGCATCGTGGAATATCCCTCCCCCAAAAAACAAAATGGGATTCGGGATTTCATCAAGCAACATTGCATTGATGTTATGGGTATTTTGGAGACAAAACTTGGAGAACCTAAATTGAACGGAGTTATGTGGAACAAATTTGATGGTTTTATGCAAGTTAATAATTTTTGCACTCATAGAGCCGGACAGATTTTAATTTTGTGGAATCCATCCAAAGTCAAATTGGAAGTATTGGAGACGAATCTCCGAGTCATCCATTGTATCGCTACTTGCAAGATAACATCTTATACCTTTCCTGTTAGTTTTGTTTATGCTTTCCATACAATTGTTAGCCGGAGGCCGCTTTGAAACATCATGGATTTCAATGCAAATGTTTCATTGCCTTAGATGATTCTTGGTGATTTCAACAACTGGCTCAAATTTGATGAGAAAAGCAACGGTGCGGAGGTAACACCTTATGGAATTAAGGACTTTGCCAATTGTTGCCTTCATGTTGGTCTTACGGATGTGCGCTCCATTGGTTGTTTTTACACTTGGACTAATAATTCGGTTTGGAGCAAAATTGATAGAGCTATGGCGAATGACATTTGGGTGCAAAATGGTGTATACGGCCTTGCTGATTTTTTACCTTTCGGGTGCCTTTCTGACCACTCTCCTTGCATTGTGTCCATTCATGATCGTGAGGAGAACACTAGGAAGTCATTCAAATTTTTCAACTTGTGGACAATGCATGAAGATTTCCAACGACTTTTTCAAGTAAGCCGGAATTTTGATTTGGTTGGGACAAAGCAATTTGTTCTTTGTAAAAAGTTGCACAAGTTAAAAGGAGCATTAAGGGAGCTAAATGTTACACACTTTGGGCACATTTCTACACGGGCAAATGAGTCTAAAGGAGAATTGGAAGCTGCCCAACTTGAGCTCCATGATCAGCCCACAAATGAGCATTATCAACTTGTGGTGGCTAGATTGAGAAAGAAAGCCATGGGATTATGTGAAGCGGAACGTAGTTTTTACTATCAACAAGCAAAATGCATTTTCCTTAAACAAAGTGATAAGTGTACAAAATTCTTCCACTTGGTGGTGAAAAGGAACACAAGGAGAAATTTCATTGCTTCTATACTCAAAGAGGATGGGATGTATACCACTTCACAAGATCAAGTTGCTCGGGAATTTGTTCAATATTACACCAAATTACTAGGTACAAGCTATCCAGTTCGGCCTATTGAGCTGGACATTATTAAGAATGGGCCTTTGGTATCGTTGGAACAAGGCAACTCATTGATCCGGGACATTTCTAATGAGGAGATCAAAGATGCACTCTTTGGTATTGGAGATGATAAATCCCTCAGGCCGGATGGTTACACTTCATGCTTCTTTGAAAAAACATGGGGGACTATTGAAGATGATTTTGTGGGGACCATCGTGGAATTCTTCTCATCAGGATCCATCCTCAAACAAATCAACCACACGATCATTGCTTTGGTGCCAAAGTCAAGTTACACACCGAATGTTGGGGATTATAGGCCTATATCTTGTTGTAATGTTCTCTACAAAGTGATTACTAAAATTCTTGCTTCTAGATTGAGGTCTATTTTGAGGAGCATTGTGGATCATGCACAAGCCGCTTTTATTGAAGGTAGAAGTATGATGGAAAATATCCATCTTGCCCAAGAACTCATAAGACAATATAATAGGAAGAGGATTGCTCTGAGATGCCTCCTAAAAATTAATCTAAGGAAAGCTTGTGATTCGGTAAGTTGGGATTTCCTTAAAGAGGTACTTAAAGGATTGCACTTTCCTTCGAGATTTATACAATGGGTTATTGAATGTGTTATTTCCCCAACATATTCCATAGCTTTGAATGGGAGTATTCAGGGTTTCTTCAAAGGTGGAAAAGGCCTCCAACAAGGTAATCCCTTTTCCCCCTTCTTGTTTGTGCTTTGCCTTGAATATTTTTCTAGAATGGTTAGGGCTGCCACAAATGATAGTGAATTCAACTATCACCCTAAATGTGGCCCCTTAAAGATCACTCACTTATCTTTTGCGGATTATTTAATGCTCTTTGCAAGGAAAGATGTTACGTCAATGCAAATTCTAATGGATTGCCTTTCAAACTTTGGTATTGTATCGGGTTTAAGGATGAACATCCAAAAATCTAGCTTGTATACAGTTGGTATTCATGGCCAAGACCTTGATGATATTCTTGAACTCACAAATTTCACGAAGGGTACTATGTCATTTCGTTATTTGGGCATCCCTCTTGCTCCGGAAAAGCTCAAAATTAGTTGTTATGCTCAAATTCTTTAAAAAATTACAGCTTGCATTGGTGCTTGGAATTGCTCTTCGCTATCTTATGCGGGCAAGGTGTAACTTATTAGAGCGGTCCTTCAAGGTGTTGAGTGTTTTTGGCTTTCTATCTTCCCTATCCCGACTACAATTATCTCAATGATTATTAGCCTTTGTCGAAAATTTCTTTGGGGATCCAAGAAACCTTTGGTGGCATGGAGGGATGTTTGCCTTCCAAAAGACGAAGGGGGTCTCAGTTGAAGGATTTGAAGAGTTGGAACTTAACTTTACTTGCTAAGTCTCTATGGAATATTCATGAAAAAAGGACCGTTTGGATACGTTGGGTTAACCAATTTTATCTTAAAGAGACTTGTATTTGAGATGTTTTACCAAGGAAGGATCACTCCCCCCCTCTTCTAAAAACTGCTGGAAATCAGGGACACGTTACAAAAAACTACTGCATGACCCTCGATTCCTGCACAAGGGTAGCTCGTGCTATCCATTCAGGCGATTGGTGGCAACATCCTGATTACATCTGCTGGAAGAACCACAAATCAGCATGCTGCGAATGCACAGAACAGTGGGCGTTTTCAGGCAGTTTTGGATAGATTTGAGGCATGGTTAACTGGTGGAAAATTATGCACAAGAATGGCATATGATTACTTCTGGTCTAGAGGTACTAAGAGGATTTGGACTGCTGATGTTTGGAAATCTTGCATAACACCGAAGCACTCATTTTTGCTTTGGTTAGGGGTTCAATCTAAACTCCTAACTAAAGACAAATTGCAATACTTGGAGATTGATCGTAATTCTGTTCTTTGTGAGCATATGGCGGAAACAGGCCGACACTTATTTTTTGAATATTCTTTCACATCGTCCTTATAGAAGAGCATTAGACAGTGGCTCGACATCAGAAGATCCATGTCAACACTTGCTAGCGCTTTGAAGTGGATGAAAAAAGAAGCTCGTAGGACATCATGACTCAGCAAGGTTAAGAGGATTGCCCTTGCAAGTACTGTCTACTACATTTGGTTAGCGCATAACAAGAAGATTTTTGAAGACCTTTCACCTCACTTGGATTGTATTGTGAGACGGATCAAGACACACCTATACAAAGTTATATTTTCTTTGTATCCAGTTGTCTTGATCCATTTCAAGTCCTTAGTGTTAGGTCATTGACTTTTTATGCACTTTACTTATTTTGTATCACCCGGGTATGTTCGGAGTAATTGTATGTAATATTGGCTTTGTTTTGCCCAGGTATGCTCAGTGTATTTGTATATGGAAGTTTTGATCAACGAAATTTATATTTATCGATGATAAAAAAAAAAAAAAAAGTATTAAGAGATATTGACTTCACCTGTAGAAGCTCTTCAATGACATCTTCCATGGTTATTATTCCAACTGCTTCCTCTTCATGGAGAGTTGGTAGAGGATTTTCATCTATTTGTAGGATTTCTGCATACATGTTTTTTGTCCACTTCTTGCTCCTAGGTGTACCTTTGAGGGAATCATTTCCATTATTTGGTAAACTCTTCCATTTCTTCAGCTGTCTTTTGGTCTTTATACTCTTCTCCTTGGGCTTTTCACCATCAATGTCTACTCTCACATCCTTGACCGTATCTACAAATACATGCCCACAAAGGAAATTGTAGGCAACACAATGCATCTGATATCATAAAGCTATCAGTTAGCTAAAAAAAACTTACTGTCTACAGGATCTGTGCTAGCTGGCTGTTGTGTGGCGTTGTTGGAGTGCCTTACAACAACAGCCATGTGGCTGTGACCCTTCTGGAATTCATTCAAGATGTCATATAATGGCATAGTTTCTGGAACCCTAAGATGTCAATCATATAAAAACAAGAAGTTAAAAAGCAATATCGAGTGTATCCTATCTAGGAACACTTAATACTTGTGGCCCCACCAGTTTCTTCTACAAAAAAGTTCAACTAAGAAAATGAAGCAAAATACCAAATCAAACCAATATAGCAAATTTAGAAGAAATACATGGACACATTCTGCCCATGTGTGCAGGCACATTGACAAATACTAGAGAATTAATTCCTTTTATCAGTTTCAGGTCTCAGAATCTGAGTAACAAGGGCCAAATTGAGGTACGTGTAGAAATGCCTAAATGATCTGAAAATTGAAACATGTGAGAGTAGTGTGATGAATCCAAAGGTAAAACAAGATAAAATTTTACGTATCATTTTAAACACTTCAAGCAACTCAAGAACTTAGGTATTAGACATCAATGTTCTGTATAACAACAATACCTTGGAATTCTACGGATTGTAACACTCTTCACAGGGACTTCATCTTCTGGATGGATCGTTAACAAGTTCTTAACCTAGAAGGGAATAAATAAATTAATGAAACGAAATCAGATTACTAAAAAATGTCTATATCAACATGTTGATCGGAAATTATGGTGATAACAGGATACATATAAAGGAAAAACTCAATGTTTGTGGATGGCTCTACATCCGCAGCCAAAGTAGGATCAGACTAAGACCACATCAAATATATCTGAAAGCACCATCTTAAAGCTTTAATTTTCAAAAAGTTGTACAGTTCCCAATGTATTGCGGTAATGTAGCTATCAGAAAGTTTATTGGCTCTAAAGTCACCACAGATATCTTTCGATGTTTTTTTTTTTTCTTCCACGATATAGTACAGGCCAAACTATACCTAACTAAAGCAGGCGAGAGGATATGAAAAATGAGAAAAAGAATTTTGAGTCCAGGACAAAAATGGAACCTAAAATCAGCTGTCATTTAGTGATGTTGCTGGATACAAGGGGTCTTTAATGAACTAGAATGCACCCATCCACAAGATGCAGCAATGTTTATGAAGTGAAATAAATAACTAATCACTCGATGAAACTGCCCAGAAATGAAACGAGGTACCAGAATAAGTCCAATAATGTTTGTAGGTTGCTCGTAGTAGACTGGCACTCTGCTATGTCCTTTCTCCAAAATTAGATTCATCAAGAACCTATACCACACCAAATCAAATTATATCAAGATTAGAAAATTGAGTTCTAACTGCCAGCATTTTAAGGCTAGCCAAATTATGATGTACCTGTCAAGCTTTGCATTTATATCAATTGTGAAAGTTTCGGATATTGGAGTCATGGCATCACTAGCTGTTTTCGCAGAGAGTTCAAGTGCCCCTGCAATAATTGTTGTCTCATCATGTGTCAGTTCTCCACCTTTACCTGCCTGTTAAAATAAGTAAAGAAAGTAGAGGATCAGGAAAGTAAAGGTGAGAACCCCAGATAACAAAGTTTCAATCATAATGATGCACAAGGAAGAACATCTGAAAGAGAGTGTACACACTACACATAGTAGAATCAATGTGTCACTTCACCACAATGTAAGGAACAAAAGAGACCCTTTGAAAAAGGTAAAACTATGAAAGTCAAATTCTGTATCTCCTTCATACCTCATTGCCATGCAAATTAACTAGGGTTTTCAATTCAGCCCGACGAAACAGAGCTCTATGCCCGTCACCAAGCAGCAAGTCTAATAACTGGATATACAGAAATAGCTGCAATGTCAATAACTTGCAAAAATTCACCCCAGGAATATTCTGAACTATTGAACCATGGAACACTATTCTTAAACTAGAAGTGTACCTTGCTTATTGGATATGCAACTGGAAAACAGATCCAGACTAGTATGCGAACCATGGGGGCCACAGTAGCACCAATAGCAAGTCCATATCTAGAGCAAACAGACTGCGGTATGATCTGACAATGCATTCATAGCAATCAGTTCATGCAAACTAGTTCTTCAATTTCATGCAGCAGTTTACAATGTTAAAACATTTCAGAACATCACAATGGTCAAGTCAAAACACATGGCCTCTCTCACTTAAAACATCAAGCTTTTCCACGTTGGTGGATCCTGCTATGCTGATATATTGCTATTAAATACCATATGAAAATATCTTGGGGGGG